TAGAGCAGATTCCAGTTAGCATATGAGTAACATCATGTCAGTCCTAGTTCTTTCGTTCTGACATCTCTTTTGGCTCCCGGTACGATTTGGCCCAGTTTTCCAAAATGTTGATCCTGAGTCCAAATGTAACTTTGTGGGTGGTACATATGTCAAGCCCTAGTTCAGTATTTTTGGACAGCAGTAGCATTTCATAATTCTTTTGAAATTAAAAGAAGAAACTAAGTTAACTGAAAAAAATGCAGCTAGATCTAGCTGGGCACAAGCTCGCCTTTTCTACTCCCCCCTCCACCCCCCTGTTTTTCCATTTGGAAAAATAGAGGTTTACGTGGCAGAAGCACTTGACAGGATTCAGGCTCATTCAGAGCAGCAAGCAATAGCATAGCCTTGTCTTTATAACCTGCCTTGTCATGCCTTGGTGGCCACTGAGACCTCCTGGGATGTGGATGAGGAAGATGGGGAGAGTGGAGGGTTCCAACCCTGTGTTGAAGTTTGTTAAAACAGTGAGCTAGGCTGAATTATGTAGATGGCTGAATAAGACCATGTTGGCATTAAAAAAGCCAAACAACTCCCTCAGGTTCTCCGTATGTCTGTGTTTGATATACCGACTGCCATATTATATCTTTATATACAGCACACTCTAAACAGCACGGGAAGGTATAAATGCAACTTTATTACATCAAATCAAGTTAAATAGTCCAGAAGGTTGTAACCTGAATGAAATAAACACACGTACAAAGTGTAGGAGGTTTCACAGGGCATAAATCAAAATGAACTTCATAGCTTCCTTCCACCCTTCTCCCCAGTGCAGTTGCTGAGCTGCTAGCTGAAAAGCTGTCCTTCATCCTTCTCTTGCAGCAAACCACACGCCCATATATTATTAATTCTGTTTCACTAGTAATGCAGGACATCATAGATACTTTTCTAGAGCATCTCAGGTTGCTTGTCAGTGTGTCTGTGCCAGCTCTACTACTGTGGTTGCAGTTCTGAGCATTGTTTTTCAAGTGCTGGTAATTTTTCAGGCAATAGCAACGTGAACAGAAAAAGCATGTTTGAGATGAGTCTTGTCACCCAAGTTCTGAGCCCAAGAAGTGATTTGCTGTGAGAAACCAAAAACAAATCACTGTAGCCCTCTGGGCATCCCTCAGTCACATAGCTTCAGGAGGTCATAAGCTAGCCAGCTGCCCTTCCTGATCTGCTGATGAAACAAGTTAGCTTCAGCCCTTGCAACACAACCTCTTCCAGTATCCTTGCACTGTTGTGTCACAGTTGAAGGCCCTAGGGACAATGGTCCTTATGGTGGTTCCTTAAACGATGCTGAACTCGGCAGTGGGGACCATTCTTTTGAAGGACACTGGCCTAAATGATGCCTTTTTCACCCCTTCTTTTTTTTCCTTCTTCCTAAAGTGCAGTCAGTGTGAGGTGTTATGCAGGAGAATATAAGGAAAGAAGGGAGAGAGGGAAGGAAACTTTGTTCCTGTTTTTGGCTACTTACAGGGCAGTGTAAAGTGGAGGCTTTAGTCTTAAGTATTTGTAGTTATCTTGCAGATAATATAGATTGTGGGTAAAGAATGGGTTTATTTTTTCCTTTAAAAAGGGGGTTGCAAATAATTCAGTCACATCAACTTAATCTTGTTTGCTATTTGTAGCAAATATGTACAACAACTTGAAAATCCAGTAGGAATGGTTGTCTTGTCAAGCTGGAGGGTTCGCCAGGGCTCCCAGCACTGTAGGTCCAGCTGAAAGCTTTGTGACACATTCACAAGCAGTCAGGGATGGTAAAATTCTTCCTCCACATTCAAACCAGGATATCCAAGTTGGTGAGTGAGGCAGAGACGTTAGCTATTCCTTGTTGAAAATAAAGGAAGGAACAAGAACAAAGTCCCTGACTGAATCATCCTTCCCAACAAAACTATTCCAGGATTTAAACATCAGGGAGGTATTATCATGCTGGCTACTTGTAGTGATTTGTGCCTTTTTGTTTGGTTTAAGAGCTAATCTGTTTGCCCTTCCTAGTACAAAATGCCATTTAAATGCCTTCACTATATTGTTTCTTACAGAGCTGCCCAAGTATCATGGTAATATACATACGTTATTCTTGGCTACGTGGTCTCCCATGAAGCACCCATTGTGTTTTGCAAACTTCACTTGGTTCCGTTTTGGGATTTCACACCTAGTAATGTTTTGTAGTATGGGAGTGGAATCCTCCACTGGTTTCTTCATTGCATTTTGGTTGCTTTTTCTTTTTTTCTACCCTTCCTCTAACCCCCTAACATTATTATGGACCATTGTCTCTCCCCACTTGGTGGGTGATGAAGGAGGTGAATCTTTATAATCCCCCGAAAAGGGTATCCCTGCACAGCAGGGCTGCAAAGGCGGTAAAGTCATAGAATCATAGAATCGCAGAATGGTTTGGGTTGGAAGAGACCTCAAAGATCATCTAGTTCCAACCCCCCTGCCATGGGCAGGGACATCCTCCGCTAGACCATGTTGCCCAAAGCCCCATCCAGCCTGGCCTTGAACACTTCCAGGGATGGGGCCTCCACAACCTCTCTGGGCAACCTGTTCCAATGCCTCACCACCCTCACAGTGAAGAATTTCTTTCTAACATCTAACCTAAATCGACCCTTCTTCAGCTTAAACCCATTACCCCTTGTCCTGTCACT